GGGGCTGGGGGTGGGGATGGGAGGGGGAGGTGGAGAAGCTCTGCCACCCAAGGAAGGACGCTCCCTGGGCCCCTCCCAGATCCCAGCCGCGTGGCCCCAGCACTGGCCCAGCCTGCTTTCTGCCTAGTCACATGGTTCTCATTTCAGAATGTAACCGGCAGCTGTTGGCAGCTGGTTCCAGCTATTAATACTCTGAGAAGTGGCGGAGCTGTGAGGTCAGTGCTGGCACCGGGGCTGCTGCTTCCCTCTCCACACTGGGCGGGGGGGCAGGAAGGCTGAGAGAACCTAGGGGCCTGGAGCCCTAGGAACCTAGCACAGGGCACTAGCTACCCAGAGGGGTTGTCAGGCCTTTCAGAGACCCCCAGCCCAGCCAGGGGAGGAGCAACTTCCCCCTCAGCAGCAAACTTTTCCCGGAGGCTTCTGGGATCCCGTGAGTCTACAAGTGCTTAGTCATGGGACGTTGGAGATGACAAAGCCCTTAATCCAACCATCCCGTTTTAGAGGTGAAGAAACTGAGGCCCAGAGGGGTGTGTGACTAATTTGAGACGCCCCCTTGAGTCAGGGTGGGGCTGGGGCAGGAAGCCTGGCTGCAAACAGCGAGCCTGGGGGTGTTCCCTGACCCCGAATCACAGAGCCCAGCCACACGCTGACCCAGAGAGGCCTGGATCCTGTGATCCGGGCGCAACCTGCGACCACAGTCCAAGGACCACACACCTCTGAGAGAAGACTAGTTCCAAACAGATGGTGGGCAAAAGGATGGCAAAGAACACGGTATTTGGACATGGGAGCGTGCTCACCCTACTGTGTGGAATGAAGAAGAAACTAATCCCCCAAGCAGAATGTATCCCAAGGCCCCATTTGGATAAAGAGCACACACACGTGCACACACACGTGCACACACAGAAAAAAGCCTGGAAGGAAAAGTCAAAGTTACTTGTAGGAGACGGGTTTCCATGTGTCTCTTCTTTTGTCCCACCCATATTTTCTAAGTTTTGTGCTTTGAGACTCTTTATTTTTGTAACAATCATGTTAAAAGGATACAGAATAAATAGACAAGTGCCAGGGTGCCACTCACCCTCCCTCCGCCAGGCTCGGCTTCCAGAAGCTCTCAGACCAGACTGCACCCCTGGCACAAGGCGGGGGCGTTTTCCTTTCCGGTGAAGCTGAAACAAGCTCAGACCTGAGGCCAGGCAGCCAGGGCTGAGTCTCCCATGTGCACCGGGAGGAAGGGCCAGACCCGGCCTCACCGCGGCCTCCACTGTGTCTGGAGGTCTGAGGCAGAGGCCAGCCTGAGGTCTGTGTGGAGAGGGGCGAAGAGCGACATCAAGGCCAGATGGCTCTGCTGGGAACTGTCCCAGTCCCAGGCCTCACCCTCCAGGAAACCTCATGGCCCAGTTTTATCTTTCAGACACGCACACTGTGTTGCCACTTGCCTACTTTGATGCCAACGTCCTTGAGACTGAGCCACCTTCCTGGGTGGCTGCCTGCCATGGGGATCTCCCAACCTTCTTCTTGCGAGTACAGCCCTGGGAGTGAGGGCCTTGTCACCCTCGCCATGGAGCTCAGCAAGGGTTGTTTGGACAGAACCACTGCCCCAGGCCGCATGCCAGGCCAGGACTGTGGTCCCTGCCCAGTGCCCTGGCTGAAATGCCACCACACACTCAAGGGGCCCCTGCAGTAGGACAGCTTCCCCCGTCCCATTAGGGGAACCTTACATCTTCACATGTGGTGACAAATGCAGAGGGCTCTGAGCACCGGGTCCGTGGGCATGTGGAGCAGATGGACAGAGCAAGGAACTGAATTCCGGCTCCGCTCTCCCCAAGCCTGTCTCCCACCCCGGAGCCACCGCTTCCTCATGAGGGTCAGAGGTGTTGGCAGGATTCATAGATGCTAACCCCTCCATCCGGGGTCAGCAAGCAGCCGCCCTGAGGTACCTGGTGTGCTGTTCGGTTTTATATGGCCCTCAAGCCAAGAACGGCTTTTACATTCCGAAATGGCTGAAAAAAGTAAAAAGGAGAGGAACGTCTCACAAAACATGAAAATGAAGTGAAATGCCAACTTCAGTGTCCATACGTACAGCTTTGTTGGAGCACAGCCACGCCCTTTGAGTCCTGTATTCCCTGTGCCTGTCTGTGTGCAGCAGATGGAGTGGCTGTGACAGGGCCCAGATGGCCTACAGAGACTGAAATATTTACTACCCGGCCCTTCACAGAGAAAAGTCTGCTGAGCCCTGAGCTGAAAGGCCTGGTGCGTGGCAGGAGGTGAACAAGCGTTGCTCTCCCTTCTCATCATCCTCTCTCTAATCCTCTCCACCAGGAGTCTTTTTGTCCTGTCCACATGACAAGGAGTGGTGCCGTTTTGGGAGGCTGGTGAATGAGGGGGGTCCCTCCTCACCGAAGATCATTCGGCTCAAAGTTGGAAGGTCAATGGCGAGATTGGATCTTCATTCTGCCAGCAACCGGTTCCGTGACCTGGGTAAGGTCATTCACCTCTCTGAGCCTCAGTTTCCCTCCCTTATAAAATGGGAAAATGTTAACAGCTAATGTCTATTACTTGTTGAGGGCTATACATAATCCCAATCCCACCATCACTTACCTATATATATAAAAGCTCAGTGACCGTATGGCAGAATGACCAAACGACCAGAATGACCAGTTGCTATGACACGCACTGACCACCAGGGGACAACACTCAATGCAGGAGCTGCCCCCTGGTGGTCAGTACACTTTCACAGCGGGAGCGCCACTCAGCCAGAAGCCGGGCTCACAGCTGACGAGTGCAGCCGCAGTGGCAGGAGCCTCTCCCACCTCTGCAGCAGTGCTAAGGAGCAGCGAGCTAAGCGGTAAGGAACGAGCAGGCAGGCGGTTAGGAGCGAGGGGTCCCAGATAGCGAGATGGATGTCCGAGGGGTTCCAGATTGCGAGAGGGCGCAGGCCAGGCTGAGCTCCTCCCCCGCAACCCCCTATGCATGAATTTCGTGCACCAGGCCTCTAGTTTAATCATAACAGTCCTGTGAGGCAGGTACTGTCATCACCCCATCTACATCTACAGGCAAAGACACCTGAGGCGGTGGGAGGGTGAATGAGTCGCCGGGGGTTTCTCAGTTGGTCAGAAGTGTCTCCAAACAGCCTGGTCCCTCGGGAGCTTAGACACTGCCTGCTTCCTAGGCGCTGGGAAATTCCGCCCAGATAAGGAACCTGGATGCTTTTAGCCAGCGGCCAAGTGCTATGGCTGCGTAAATAAACTCTATCTTGAAAGAAGAGTAAGGGATCCTGTTTCCAAATCTCTCACTAGTGGTGGCTTTCCAGAGGGTATGGAAGCATCTGAAAGGAGAGGAGACGTTTGTGGGTGACAGCCAGCCCTACCTCGCTCCAGAGTAGGAGACAGACAACCCGCCCTGGTCCAAACGCCAGTGCAGTGTCACTAGGACCTGTGCTCAGCCAACCCTCGACTGATAAAGAGACGTCCCTTTGTCCTCAGGTGGTGGGGAAGCTGGTGGCCACTCCCCCACCGTGGCTCTGGGTCTTGGCCCACTCTCTGCTCTTTGCCTGTCTTGACTGAATTGCTGAGGAACAGCCCAGGTTCCTCGGCCAGAAGTGCAGACCCTGTGTCCTCCCGGGCTGCTGAAGACACACCTTTCCACCCTGCGTCCCTCCCATCCGTCCTCAGCACTTCCCCCCTCTCACCCGCGTTGGCACTAGGACAAGGGTTGGATGCTAAGGGTTGGGGCAGGCAGCGTCTTGCCCTTTTGTCTACTTGATCCCCACGAGGATGCCCTGCCCATGCTACGTACAGGATCCTGGGTGGCTGGGAGGGAGGGAAGCTGGCACCAAACATGCAGCCTGCATCATAGAGGGTTAATGGCTTGTGCCCTGCAGTTGAAATTCCTCCTCCACTTCCTGGCTGTGGGACCTTGAGCAAGTTCCTTAACGTTTCTGTGCCTGTTTTTTCTACAGAGCAAGATGGAGAGAGCACAGCCCGTACAGGGTTATTGTGAGAATCTGGTGAGAAAATACAGGCAAAACGCCGCTGGTAGGGCCTGCATAGTGCTCAGCACACACGGGCCACAATTATTTCTCTCCTTTTCAGCAAGTACTTCAGCTTCAGGTTCCTCAAGAAAAGCGTGACACGGCTTTTCCCACAGGACTCTGTAATGTTCTGCACCTCAGTGCCTCCTTGATTCGCCCAATCTGTATTGAGGGCCTGCTGAGTGCACTGTTTTATTTATTTTTTAAAATTTTATTTATTTATGTTATTGATTTCAGAGAGGAAGGGAGAGAGAGAGAGATGGAAACATCAATGATGAGAGAGAATCATTGATCAGTTGTCTCTCGCACGCCCCCAAATGGGAATTGAGCCCAAAACCCAGGCATGTGCCTTCGATCCGGGACCCTTCAGTCTGCAGGCCCGCGCTCTCTCCACTGAGCCAAACCAGCTAGGGCAGCACTATTTTAAACCTGGAGAATGCAAGGGTCTCACAGCCAAGGGGAGGGAGGAGAGAGACATGTCATCACGCACATACACTGAGCCAGGGGTGAGTGCTTTGAGACCGGTGGGCAGTGGGGAGGGATCCCCTCAACTCTGGTGGTGGAGGGGGCAGGGGCCAGGAAAGACCTGCCATAGGAGAGAGAAACTTTCACCGGGTCCTGAATCATACATTGTCCTTGGCAGGAGCAGGAAGGGCACTGCAGGCCGCAGGAACAGTGGTGGAAAGGTACAGCCCAGCATCCCCGGTCCACACCGACCCCTCCATGGGCCTCCATGAGGACCCGGTCTGTGCCCAGGTGCTGGGCCACGCGGGAGCATGAACGTTCCTTTGGCATCTAACACTGAGGCCATGGCTGCAGGACTGGGCAGGAGGAGGGGACCTCTGTGAATGCTGGCTGGAGGGAGTAAAGAAAAAGTGCACGTTCGGGGCATGGCCAGGGCCCCTCCTTCCCAAAGCTGGTTCAGAGCAACTCCACCCAGAACCAAGCAGACATGCAGCCAATGGCCAAGGAGGCCCAGTGGGAAGGGAGAGCAAGAAGGAGCAGTATCAGGCCAACCTTCCCAAGCCCCGCACGGAGGGGAAGGAACCAGCGGGCCTGACTCGGGGGAGAGAATGAACCATCCCAGAGAGGGGTATCCCACAGGCTAGGACGGGAACTCCTCCCTGAAGCCTCTGGTTGTGGGAAAACCACCGCTCTTTCCCTTTGCAAGACCTGGGTGAGAGCGGGGCAGGGGGACTGGTCTGACCTGGTGGATGGCAAGTCTGGCTGTTCCAATGCCTGAGGCCCTGGCTTGTGCCCTTTTCCATTCCTCCCTCCGCTCTGTCCTGCTCAACACGCAGCTCTGAGGTATCCACTCCGGGAAGGACATGGCCCTGGAGAGGAGGGAGCACTGGCCTGGGAAGCAGAAGCCCTGGGTCCTCGTCTAGGCTTTGCCCTTGACCAGCAGTGTGGCCTTGGGCGAGTTTCAACCCTCTCTGGGCTCCCGGGTCCTTGTGCACATAAGGAGACCGCAGGCTTTCTCCCCCTTGCCGTGTGCTCAGAGGAATTAACATGCTGTGGGAGAAAAGCATGAAATTGCTTTCACTGGGAACGGTGGTGCTTTCCGATGTCTACACTACATGTGAGGTCGGGGAGGGGCAGGGTATCTGTGGAGCTCACGGTTGCCTTCCAACATTGAGCACAACCTCGCGTGCTTGGGGGTCTGCCTCAAAGGCAGGAGTGGGGGCAGCGACTTCCGGCTTCAGCCTGTCCCTCTTACCTGCTCCAGCCTTGTGATCGGAGTGAGACTCGGTCACGAGCTATGAAAGGAACCACTGGGGCAATAGTGCAATGTCGGGAGTGCAGCTCTCACTTCCTCCGTCTGCCCTGACCCCTGGGACCAACTGTTGTAACTGCCTCCCCTGTTGCCACTTGGCCTTCTTCCCGAGGAAGAGAAGTCCAGTTTCGTCTGCTCTGGCAAAGTTTAGAGCCAAGAGCTACATTTCTCACCATCCTGGCATCTAGCATACCCATGGGACACGGTCGTGGCCAAAAAGATAAGGCGGCATTGGAACGAGACGCTGGAAAACCTCCCGCAGGTGCATCTGGCCTTTTGCCATCTGCTTTTCCTCGTGTGACTGCCTGGGAGATAGAATTAGTGCCTGGAGGTTTAGGAGCCATTTTGCAACCATGAGGACAAGACCCACATGCTAAGAATGACTGAGACGAGGTCTTTGAGTTGTCATATAACCCTGAACTGCTTACTTCTGGAAATACATTTCCTAATTGTGAAAGCCATTGTTTCTCCCCCGGACCCCTTGCCTCCGCCCCAGGGAGAGGTTTGGGTGGGGGTAGACAAGCACAATTATAACCAATACACCCTTTCCTCCAAAAACTAACTCAGTGCTGCCTTGAACGCCTTCTTTGACCCCACAGAGGACTCATCGCTCTGCCTTGTTAGGGCCGGTGACTCGTGTGCAGTCCCCACAAGACCATTTCAGGGAAGGCAGGCCCTGCACTTCTGTGTTGATCGCCAGTGCATCCCCAGAGCTGACAGTTTCTGGCAAACATCCCACATTCTGTACTTTTCTGGAACCAATGATAAAAGAACCCTTTGAGTTCTGGTTCTAGATGCAGCTAGTCCACCTTCCACCCAGGAACCATCATCTCCGGCCAATTTGAAACCTCCGTGGACATATCTTTGAAACAGCCAGCTTCTAAAATTGGGTTTCCTAAAATATGCACAGCCACGGCGCATGAGCTCTGTAAGTAACTCTGCCGGCCTCTCCCAGAACCGTTGCCTTTTCCTAAACCCCACAGCCCATCCTGGTGGCCCTGCTCTTGCCGCTACATGACCCAGAAGGCAGGTTCTGGTGCCGAGAAGGGGCACATCTCACATCACATGGTGGGCTTGGTGGAGAAGACATCAGTGTGTACAGGGAAGCATTCGCAGGCCTCCTTGTCAGGTGCTTTTCCTGTCTTAGGCATCTCGGTTATATTTAGGAAGTAAAATTACTCTCTCTATGAGTTCTGGAAGGTTCTCAGTCTCCTCCTCCTCTTTCCTTTATGGTGACTTTCTCCTCCAAACCTGCTGTTTTCACTCTGCCCCCAAAATATTCATGCTTTTTCTATATCCAAGTGATCCAATAGCATAGCCAACTATATAACTACTTCATTTACCTTCCTTTTGAACAGCATGGCGAGTCTATATGTTATTGATGAGAAATGCAAAGTCCATATGTATCCAACAAACTTGGGGTTCGTTTGTTCCAATGTTTGTTGACAGTCACTTGGAAAAAATCACATCTAATGGATCAGCGGGGGGGCTCAGTTTCTCTTTGTGGGTTCATACCTTCCCCTGCAGTTGGGCGGGGCCACGGGACCTGAGATCCTAACTGTGTCTCCTCATCCACCAGCTGAGTGGGGAAGACCCTGAGGACCTGGGGGAGCATGGATGGAGCCACAAGATGGATGGAGCTTGGTCCTCTGGAGTGGCTGCGTGAAGCTGAGACCTGCAGGTCTGCACTGGGCTCGTAAGGAGCAAGAAAGAAGTGCTATGGCACCAAACCAGTGCTTGGACATTTATCTGTTAGAGCATCTGGCAGTGTTTGCATGTTACTCCTTATGTATCCACAGCACTTTCTTTAGTGCCTCTATTCTAAAAGGTGGTCAGTTTCCTTTGCATGAGAGCTGCTTACCTCCACGCCTGTACCATGACTATACCGAATGCCAATGTTTAGGTCCACGGTTCTCAACCTCGCTGCTCAACAGAAAGTGATCGGGGAGTTTTAAAAACTCCCACTGCTTGGGTCTCAACCCCAGAGACTGTGATTCAATGGATTGGTGGTGAGACCCAGCTTTTGCTACTTGGAAAGAGCACCCCAGGAAGTTCTAAGGGCAGCCAGAGTTCGGAGCCACCGGTCCAGATCAGGGGTTCTCAGAACACTCGAGAGACTTGTTCAGACACGAATTTCTGGGACCCACCCCCAGAGTTTCTGATTCAGGAGGTTTGGGGTATAGCTTGAAATTTTCATGTCTAATAATTTCCCCAAGTGAGGCTGATGCAAATGGTTCAGGGACCATATCCAGAGGACCACTGGGCCGCACCGGTACATCCCCCTCAGTAACAATAACAATCACGGGCGGCATACTGAGAAACACTAGCCACTCAATGACTGAGGGTATCACTGAATTGAAATGAAGACACACCGGCTTTAATACTTGATAAAACGTTCAGGCTCTGTTTTGTGACCGGCTGTCACAGAGGCGGCATGCACCCCAAGCAGCGAGAGTCACCCCACCAAGCTCCTTCCCAGGGAACCACACTCAGCATCAACCTGCCAGACCTTAGTCCTGTGTCTGTGAGCATCTGGGCTTTCCCTCCATTTATTTTGTGCATCTGTTAGCAAGATGCGGCCCTAAGGTAGGAGAAAGCCTAAGAGAGATGAAAGAGAGAGGTGTTAACCCTTAGCATAAAACTGGATACAATTCAGCATACCTGGTATGGTTTGGTAGGTTATTTTAGGGGTCTGGGAACACTCAAAGACTTTTCCATGTGAGTCCATGGTGATTGCTTCCTCCCTTCACGTCATCTCAGCTTACAAAAGGTTTCATGGGACCCTCTGCTTTTGGATAGCAGGGGGAACCTGTATTCATCTCTGCTGTCTGCACAAAGGCAGCCATAGGCAGTATGCAAATGAAAGGAGGTGAACAGATTTGACTGCTGACCATAATTTGCCACGCCCTGGGATTGGACAGGCTGGGGGCCAGGAGGGGGTGGAGAGAGGGCGGATGTCAAACAAAGCACCCTGGGGACCTGAATGATGAGCAAGGGCCAATTGTAGGCCTGGAAGAAGAGTACTCCCAGTGGGACAGTTTGTACTTGAATAAGCCCTGGGGCCCTGGGTAAGGGATGCAGCACCTTGCAGGGCCAGATGGAGGCTGGGGCACCTGGACTGTGTTACACAAGAGTGAGAGAAGTATGACTGATGTCACTGAGAGAGGCTGCGTCTGAGTCT